CAGAAGTAGAATCAATACTTTTGATCGTAGTGTTGGAGAAGAGTGTTGAATATACCATGAACTGCCAAGAAAACAAATAATTCTATCTTGAAGGAAGTACTACCAGTGTGCTCCTTAGGGCAAGGATGGTGAAACTTCAGCTCACATATTTTGAGTGTATTTTCAGGAGGAACCAGTCCATTGGGAGGGATTATCATGCTGAAAAAGATAGAGGGTTAATGAAAGAGAGGAAGACCCTCAATGAGATGGATTGACACAGTGACTAATGCAATGGGCTTGAGGAGGTCACAGATCATGAAGCTGGCACAGTTAGGGCAAGGTTCAGATCTGTTGTTCTTAAGTTCACTTTGAATCATAGTTGACTTGAAGTACAACACTGAAGCAATTGACAGTACCATGGCTTTTGTCAGGCACATCTTAGTAATCTTTAAATTTACCTCCTTACTGTGTGCTGCATGTTCAAGATGTCCTTGGTAGATTTGCCCATTGTATCACATAGTTTAGGTTTCTTGATTGGTATTTCCATTGGTCCAGTGGTTAGATTTTTGTTTTATTTTTATTAAAATATATTCTGTACCTATTTAGTCTTTGAGATTGATCAGTGCATGTGTCAAGTCTTTATTTCTGCAAGTTGTGTTCTGTCATCTGCACAATGCTGAGACTTCCTCCAATCCTGATGCCTCTATTCTTCATTTAGTCTAGCTTGCTGTATGATAGTCTGAGCTTATAGACTGAAGAGGTATGGTGAAAGGATACAACCCTGACACACATCTTTCCTGATTTGAAAACGTGATTCTCCTTGTTCTGTCCGAACCACTGCTTCTTAGTCCACCTACAGGTCCCACATGAGCACAATGAAGTGTTTTGGTCTGGAATTCTCACTCTTCTCAATGTTATTCATAATTTATTATTGTTCACTCAGTAAATAAAACATCTTTCTTGTATTTTTTATTTTGATAACACTTATTCCACGTCAGTTTGAATTTCCAGCAGCTTCCCATTGAAGCACTGCTCTATTTGTTTTGAATTAGAAAAAGCTAGTGATTTGTTACTCAAATGATTCATTACTATATCTTTCAATGTTTTAAAAAGTATAGATAGTAAATAGTCACCAATGTGGTTGTAGTGCTGGATTACTTTGAAGAATTCTTTGTAATACTAGGCCATAGTGCAATGTCTAGTATAGAACCAATACACAACAAAAGTTTATTCAGTAGATAGTATAATTTGGATTATAAAAGACTATGTTTGTTATTCATTCAATATTTTCTTTGTTTTAAATTCTTACTGTGATTTGTGTGAAAGCTTAGAGAGCAAATTTCTTTTCCATTTATTTAACAGTGTATACTCATTATGTTTGTGACAGTGGTTCAATATTTTTAATTACTAAAAAGTAGAGGTTTGAATAATGCCAAAAATAGGAGAAACCTATTTCCTGTGCTCTTTGGCAAACTATTGGTTATTCATATCATATTACTTCCTCTTTCAGTTAGGGCTCTTAGTCACAAGCAAGAGAAGCAGTCCCATTGATGGAATCAAAAAAAGAAAGAATTGAAAGTGTATATTGGGTAAGCCAAAGAATAGCCAGTAAGGGTAGACAAGGGAGCTTGGTTAATGGACAGGACAAAATGTGCTCTACCAGTCTGAAAGAATTAATAATCCTGGTTTTTCAAATCCTTTGTAGACACATATGGCACCTGTAGCCCAGATTTTGTGCCAGGTTGTAGATTCCAGGAGATCTGGGAAAGCCCAACATTTTCTTGCTTCTGTAACTCTTTGAATGAGAATTCCCTAAAGATGGGAAAGAGTTCACAAATTAGACAGCCAACAACTATAAATGAGTCATCTATCTACATTTCCTACGTAAGCCCCAGAGTCTAGTATTTCGAATTGCTTCCCTCTATTTTGCCCTACTTGCTTTGGCAATTTGCAACACTGAGCAGTCATTGCTTATTGTGAGGTTCGGGCAACTAAAAACCAATGAGACAATTCACACAACTGCTCATGAGCCCCAAGAAGTTCATTCCTAGGAAACTCATTTAAACCAGTGTTTCCAAACACATCTCTAACTCCTCTTCACCCCAAGGAAATTTAATTCTATTCATGTATTCCCGGAACAGTGTCTCTGCCAGAGACCGTGATGTATATTTCTGGTTGGCACCAGTCTTTAGCTTTATACATTTCTCACAGCTTCTTTACACACCATTTCTATTTAAGTTCTCAGTTTCTTGTACCACATCAACTTCAGCTGAGGGAAACTAGATTATCTGATGTAAATCCATTTAAGTTTTCTCCTCTCTAACTCAAGAATTATACGTGTCTTTACCCATGCATTCTATTCTCCTGTCCTTTTTCATCTTTCCTTCTTCCCCTGGCTAAACTAGCCACCAGTATTAATCTGGATGTCTTCTCTTCTAATCCATTCCTATCTAATACTTCTCTCCTATTTGACTATGGCTTAGACTCCATTTCTCTACTAAATCCCTTTGGTTTAGGAACACATGAGTGTTACCCAACCCAGTAATCCTTCAACTTGACCCTGCTTCCCTATTTTCTTGTTCTTCTTACATATTTCATATCCAAAGATCTGAAAGGAATATTTTATCCTCATGGACTTGTCTTCCCCACCTCTCACTTGTTATTTAACTCTCCATGGTTACTTCCAGTCTCACACTCTAGACACACATGATGCTCACACAATGCAACTTCTTAACTGCTTAAGGCACTAGTCTCTTTTTAGTATGCATTCTCTTTGAATTCTTGGGAGCATCTGGCTCTATTGAAAACTCTCTTTCCTTTGCTGTAGCTTTTGTAATAAACATTTTTCTTGGGTTTTTCCTTCAGATGGATTTTTATCAACATCCTTTGCTAGGGTTTCTTTTTTACACAATTTTCTTATGTTGGATTTTATCATATTTAGATCAGTTTTTTGTTTTGTTTTTAGGGTCCTCCCTCCAGCTATAACCTCAAAGTAGTTAAGTTGCAAGTTATGTGTCTCTAGCTCTGATAATTCTCTCCTAAGCTTCAAATTGTTTCAACTGGTCACTTCCCCCATGGTGTGCATACCCTTCTCCCTCCTCAAACCTCTTCTACCATTCCTTTTAAATATTTTTCTAGCTAAAAAGAGAGACCATTTCTTCACCACTTAGTTCTTACTTGAGCCTGACCTACACCATGTCCTGGAAGTGTTTAGTTGTTAAGACCTGGGCTTTAGATCTAACCTGTTTACATTCCAGTGCTACCACATCCCAGCTGTGTGACACAGTCCCCGATGTCCTTGGCCTCAGTTTCCTCATCCTGTTATTCCTTACTTACTCTTGTTGACGTGGTAACAGCTTTATTTATTTGTGAGCAAACATCTTTTAAAGAATGCATCCTAATGAAGCTAGTGCTGGAAATGGGAAGAAAATGATGGGTCTTAGCGAGAAGGCACAAGTTTAGGATATATTGGTGTGAGATGCTGGATTTGGCATTGGCTTGGATTTATAACATGACCAGCTCCAGCTTCACTTTATCGAAAGGAAGAGAAGCTGTCAAACGGTTTTGGTGAGAGCCTTGGTCACAGTAGTAATCACCAAGTGATAGAGAAAACCTCCATAAAAGTTGAAGTATTTAACTGAATTGAAAGATCCTGCATAGGCAACTGTTTAGAAATATTTTATGTGAATACATTTTGAAATGTGTTCTTCTTAAACCCTGCATTTACAGACTTATCAAGAATCTTAAAAAGTCACATTTATTTTCTTAGTATTTTCAAGTTCATTTTATGCTGGAAATTTTGCTCACAAGTTTTGGGAATTCTAGTAGGTCTCTCCTGAACATTAAGGGATATAGTGTTTTTAATATTTATTTCTGATTGAGTCTTATCACAGCTAACCCAGTGTGTGTACTCCTGTGACTCCTGTTTTGCTCAAGCGTGAGGAAAATTATTAAATCCTACTTTTTCTTTCAGAGACTGTATAAAAGTGAAGACCATCCAAAATGTTTTGCCTCAAAATAGTCATTTATCTACTTTATCTCACTCAACACTCATAATTCTGTAAGCTAACTACTGAGATTCCCCTATTTGTCAGAGAGGAAAATTGAGGTTCATACGGGTTCAGTACAAGGCCCCATAACCACTAAATAGCTAAGCCCAAGCTAGCTAAACAACAAGGGCTTTTCATGCCTTTGTGATCTATATAAACGGCCCCATTAAGAGGATAATATGTTTTGAGAAATATCTTGTCCCCAGCAAACTTGACTTTGAGGACTTGGCCATCTAAGACAAGTGGGCAAGACAGTCCTTCCCCATTGGTATTGTATCCACGTGGAATCCAAGCATCAGGTGTGAGTTGGAAGACAACCTGAAATCCCAGTGGCCCCAGTCAGCGCATAAACCACACGTGCTTCTGCCCCACATTCTGCCAAAATCCCCTCACATCCGCTCCAGACCACTGTCCTGTGGAGGCACCACCTCGCCCTGCTCTGGGGTCCAGCCAGTTGTGATTATGCACCGCTGCGCGCCAGCCGTGCGCCCCAGGTGCCTACCCACACGCGCGCCTTGGGGACTTGCTGAGGCCAGGTGCCTCTGCCCTACTACCGGCTCGGTCCGGCAACCCCAGCGTCTCCTGCTGCCTAAAGCCGCGCGGGGCTGCTGCAGCAGGTCCCCACACCCCAGGGGCGGAGCGTGGCGCGAGACGTCAGGGCGGAGAGTGAGCGCGGAGCGAGCGCGCACTCCGGGAGGGTGCCGGCGGCCCACGTCCCCGGCTGGCGCGGCCGCGGCGGGCCAGCAGCGGCGGCTGTGAGATGCAGTTAGCGGCGGCGCTGGGGCGCAGCCAGGCGGCCGGGCGGGCGGAGGCCAGAGGCTGAGCTGGAGGGAGCCAGCGGTGCTCACTGCTCTGCCGGCTGCCCCCGTGGTGAATCCCCAGGCTCTTGCTACGGATTCTACTCACTCTTACCCGGGTTCTAGAAAAGCCCCCCGGGGCGCCCATCAGTTTTCTTGGGTGACTACAGCGTGTGTTTTTTTCTTTCTCCCTTCCCCTCCCTGTATGTCCTTCTCCAGGATGGCAGAGGCGGAATTGCACAAGGAAAGGCTGCAAGCCATAGCAGTAAGTCCACTTTCATCTTATTTTCTTGCTCTATTGTCTGGGATGGAAGGGGCCCAAGTATTTTGGGGCGAGCAGCGTTCCAGCACAGTAGCCGCAGGGCATGTGGTTCAGGAGGGGAAGTCTGTCAAGGTTCTGCTAAACTGCCTTTTCTTTGAGACGTCTGTAGATAGAAAACCCCAGGGCGCGCTTTGGGCAAGTGATTCAAATGTAGAGGAGTGGCTCAGAAATAAGATGCTTACTGCTGGGCTTGGGGGGAACACTAAACAGAAGGCGGGGGAGACTCTGGGAATACATCATCATCGGTGCCCAGTAATACGTTGATTTAATAGACTGGAGAACAGAAAACACGGTGACTGGGTCAATGGCGGTCATCCTTTCTGCGGAAACCGTTAGTTGGCCTGTTAAGTGGAAAACCAGCAGTTGCCTTCTCTGCCAGCCTCGAGGTCGAACCTCTTTCCAGAAACCAGGGCTGTGGGTTTCCCTTCCCTGTTTGATATTGACAAGGGCATTGGCACCAGCCACCACCCAGAAGACACCAAGAAGTCTCTGGACTTCTTGAAACAATTGGGCCCGGGGAATAATATGGCAAGAAAGCCTCTTCATTTTGGGCGTGGATAGTCTGGAAACCTATTTTCAGCGTTCCATGAAAAAGAACAACCTGTTTTGGTGAAGTTTTTATGCACTTTCAGAAAAGTGTACCCATGTGCATCTTGAGTAGAAAAGAGAGCTCTCTTAGATGAGCTAGATTTGAGCAGCCATGCGGCAGGGCTGCCAATGCTCCACAGATGTGGTATTCTTCCTGGAGCCACCACAGCTGGATTATGTATTTCCTTTGTGGATGAGAGAATGATTACTACTGCTATTTCAAATAATAACAATTAAAAGAAAAGGTCTGCTAATGTATTGGTGCAGAGGCCTCTCCAGATGTTCACCCACCTAAAAACCTTTGTGTGTCTGTGTGTGTGTCCGTCTTTTTGTGTCTCCAGGATTTCCTAATTCATGTTGGAGAAATAGTATGTAATGTTTGAGAAGTAGAACATGTTAATGTGTTTTCAAAAGTCTTTGGACTGACACTTCATTGGGGAAAATGTACACAGACCCTTTTACAGAAGTGTTTGATGTGGTCTCCTTGGCTGGGAGATCATCTTCCTCAGACTTCAAACAGGAAATGTATAGGAGACTTTTCGTTTCTGATTACTCATTAAGCAAGGTAAGCACAGCCTTCCTTGTGCTTACTAATTTGCAGTAAGCAATTTCACATTTTTCCCCCCACCATAAAAAAGTTTCTGCTTTTAGGGATGGCTGACAATCTGTCTCTCTCCCAACCCCACAGCACCTTCCTACCCATTCAAAGCCCCTTTTCAAAGTTACAATCCCTGACAGGGACCAAAGCATAGATTTATGCAAAGTAAGCATAGATTTATTTACTAATCTTTAGTGAAAGCTGCAGTAAAACCCATGTGACATTATTGACTACAGATTTGTAAGTAAGCCTGACTTTCCTATCCCTTAGAGACTATTGAGGAACCGAGAGACACTTGCTGACAATGTTGAAATGCTGTGATTTGCTGATTAGACAACTTTTGAAAGTGGCCCTAGGAACTAAAAAAGACTGTCCTCCCTCCCATGTATGTTTTGATGGTTAAAGGACTCATTCATTGTTTCTAAATTTGGTGGCAAGACTGATGTGGCCAGTATGCCATGAATGTAATAAGAAAGGAGATATTCAGTTATTGGTGCCATGTAGCTGATGGGTGTTTTGTTTACGTTGAATAATAGGATGCTTTAACTGTAGTTGAAGTGGCTGCCCTGGCAGACTCCTAGTCCCTCCCTTCGCCTGCCGCTGAAGGTTTCCAACAGTTGTCACATTTTCTGCCTTTGTATGACCAGCTATACTGGATGCCTGAGGAACAGCTGAAGCCCATGAAAGGACTTGCTTTTTCAAAGTGAAGCCAGAAGCAGCTAACACTGGGGCCACACTTTCCAAGTGGCGCTGAGTGATCCCAGCAGAGACTGGGTGGATTTTTCAAGAAAGTCTAGCAAGTATTTTTAAGTTGTCTCAAGTGTATGAGAAGAATAAAAACAAACACTTTTTTATTTTTCCATTTACTTGTTCGCCTTGTATAAATCATGATTCTGATTATTATGATGTGCAGTGAACCTTGAGGTTTTTATCAATATAGATTTCCTAAGAGTGAAGTATAAATGTGTGTAAGAGAGATATTAGATGATTTAGGAACTGGGGATTTGGGGCCATAACAGTGAATAATTTGTACCATGTTGGCATGATCTGTAAGGAGCTGGTTGTGCTACTAACCCAGTGGCTGCACATCGTTGGTGGTTCGAATCTACCAGAAGGTCCTTGGGAGAAAGATTAAGCATTCTCTTCCCATGTGATTTACAGACTCAGAACACCAATGGAGGGTGCACTCTGAGTTGATTCCAACTTAACAGCAGTGGGTGAGTGAGTGAGTGATGTCGGACTAGCTGCTCATTCTTCCAGTTTGCCAACGTCTGCCTCTGCCTCTGCTCACATGTCTTTTCCCAGAAACTAGCCCTCCTGAAATCTCTCCGAATATGTAGAAGCAGGAAAGCGATGAATCCTCATTCTCATCATATCTTTCTCAACTTTTGCTTCTGTCCAAGAAGCAGATACACGGGGTTCCAGTTTGTAGGGTTCGGGGTAAGGGCTCCAGTTACATTATCTGTAAAATGGTCCTATAAGTCCTATCTTAGGACCTGGTTTTAAAGTTTAGATGTGATGTAAGTGAAGGATGTGTCACGTGGTTGCCTTTAAAGAGTGTGGAAATAGAGCCCGCCATACCTGTCTACAATGCTGCTTTTCCAGGGGAGTTACAGACTGAATTCTGACATGGAACATGTCAGAAGAAGTTATTTATTCTTTTATTCAATTCTCGTAGCTTAATGGCAAGCAGTTGCATTGCCAACCAAAAGGCATCCTGATGAGCCTTTTATCTGACTCAGATTTTATAGTCGTAGAGATTAGCTGATGAAGGCAACATTATTAAAACAGTGTTAAAGCCAGTATTTGGACCCCACAGTTGGCCATTGGAGGCTTGACTTTCATTACTACTCTGAACTGCCACCTAAGACTGCGGCAGCCTCTCACACTTTTTTCCAGGAGCACACACTGTGGAAGTGCTTCCAGAAGCTGAGCTCAAGAAGTTGAACACTGTTTCTGTAGGATGGAAAAACATGAGACAATCTAAAATGCCCACATCCTTTTGATAGTCTTCCAAGGTTGGGTTCAGAGCATGGAAATGCCAACGGATGTACTGACTGAATGAGTAACATTCCCTAGGAGAAGCAGCAGCAGTGTTTCAGTGGAAACCAACTTGAGGTCTGGAACAGTTGTTATGCCTGTGTGTCCAAGGAGGAGATGTTGTTCCTTGAGTATGCGTGAGTATAACCAAATATTACCCAAGTTCTCAGGAACCATATGCACAAGACCTGAGCCTATCACTGGGGACCCACATAAGTGTGTTCATATGTACCGAGAAAATAATATGTTAACACACCCTACATTTGCTATTTAGGGAGTTTTGTCTTGTAAGAAGACAGTCTAGAATACCAAAAATGATCATTTGTTTTGTTGTTTGTTTGTTTTTGTATACTACTTAAGTTCGGGGGTTTTTTGGGGGAGGGGGGGCTTGTGTTGTTTTTGTTTTTTAAAAAGAACCAAACCTTGCACATGCTTACCTTAATTCTGAAGTCAAGGACCATTCCCATACTCACACAGTGAGACAGGGAAGAGTTTTATTAAGTCCCAGATCTCACAAACTCAGATTGCTGGTGCTCCAGCCCATATCACTAGGATGATACCAAGTTCAAATCCTGTGGCAGGAAAGAGGAGGGAGCCCTTGGGGAAATAGGTGCCTCAATATGTCTCTAGAATCTTTCCTTTTGGAGATTTTGTCTTGGGTCCCTCTTCCTATTGAAACACTCAGCCCAATGGTATGACTGGCAAGCCGTGACACCTATTGTTGTTGGGTGCTGTTCTGACTCCTAGTGACCCCATGTACAACACAATTGCCTTGTCATGAGCCTTCTACACAGGCTTCACTTCATTTGAACCCATTATGTTGAAGGTCATCTTTTTTGATGACTCTCTGGTTTGCCAACATGATAGCTTTTCCTGGTACTGATCCCTTTTAATAACATGTCCAGAGTACTTATCCCAAGACAGATTTGTTTGTTCTTTTGGCAGTCAATGACATCTTCCATATTCTTGGTCAGCACCGTAATTCACAAGCATAAATTCTTCAGTCGTCTTTATTCTTTGTGTAGCTAAGTGGGGTCCTGCTCACCTTGAGCTGGTGTAGATATAAGCAGATGGCTTAGCTGGGCTATGTCCTGACATTCCAGAGAAATAATTGTGTGTGTGTGTGTGTGTGTGTGTGTGTGTGTGTGTGTGTCTTTCTTAGATCCATCTTTTTGTGCCATTGTACTAGGCCTTCGAGTACGAGGATTGGAGCCTGTGATCAACAGCCAATGAGATAGCTCTGAGGGTTGGCACCTGTGACCAACAGCCAATGAGATAGTTCTGAGGGTTGGAGCCTGTGATCAACAGCCAATGAGATAGCTTTGAGGATTGGAGCCTGTGATCAACAGCCAATGAGATAGCTCCGTCTGGTTAGATTCTGGCTGCTTACATTGACTTGCCTAGACGCAAATCTTCACTGCTATTCACACAGCGACCTGGCCTAGCTTCTGAGAGAAGAGATTCTCCAGGGATTAGAGGCCCAAATTTAATCCAGATAGTAGTATGTCAAGAAGACAAAGATTCTTGCCACTGGACCAATTGGCAGCATCAGGATGGATGACGAAGAGATTGAGAGTGTTCACAGCTTCAGTTTGCTCGGCTCCACAGTCAACACTCTTGGCACCAGCAGTCAGGAAATCAAAAAGCGTATCGCGATGGGAAAGTCTGCTGTTAGGGACCTCTCTAAGGTACTCAGGAGCAACAGTGTCTCTCTGGA